ACGTCATAAATGGATTTTATAAACCCGAAATATACTATACCGACACCGATAGTTTGTACATTTCATCCAAAAATTGGAAAAAACTAAACAGAGCTGGTTTGGTCTCCGAAAAAGACTATTGCAAAGGTAAAAACGATTACGGTGACGGTGGAATTATATTTGGTTTATATTTAGCACCAAAAGTCAAATACAACATCGTTTTGACTTCTGATGGTGTTTTAAAAGAAAAGAAAACGTTTAAAGGTTATTCTAATGATAAGATAAGTGTAGAAGATTACGTTCAGTTAGCAAGCGGACATGATGTGTCGAACGAATTTAATAAACCATGGGAAAAAAGTTTCACCAATGGAGTAGTTATTCCAAATGATAAACAAACTAAAGTTTTTAGAAGTTATTTGAATAATGTTAAAAGAAAACCACCAAACAGTGAAGGAATTATGTATCCTTACAACGACAAAGATGAGTATAATTTTGACGAAAACTATGAATTTGATGATTTCGATTATCTTACTATTCAAGAAGAGAATGAAGATTGTTTTAAATGAAGTTGAATGACAATTTCTTCGTTGCTAAAGTCTATGAACCTGTTTTTACCGTCTTTGATTTCCAGATTGATATCTTTGATCATGAAAGAATTGACTGGTAAATAGGTCGTTTGAAACAGTTTCTCTATAATTCTATATCCAATCGGCACCGTAAAAGTCGGTATGCTGTATATGATTTGGCGTTTGTGCTTGTTGAAAAATCCACCGTTGATCAAATTACAGTGAATGTTGATCACGTCGATGTCGTTCTCGATGTTGGCCTTGTGCGGCGCCAATGTCGATTGCCCGTATATTCGTTTATCGAACCCTAGTAACGCATTCAACAAATTTTCTACGTTGAAATCGACTTGACTGTTATTTCTCAAGATCAGTTTTATTTTGTTCAGATTCAAATTACCTCCGAATTCGATATTGTTTTTGCCGTTCACGCTTCCTGCGTATTCGGATAGGTATTCGTTGATGGCTACGTATTCGTAGCTCCCCGGTAGCAAGCTTATGGTTTCGAACGTAACTCCGTTATCCGTCGATATTTTTAGTTGATTGTTT